TTTCACTGAGTTATGCTGGTGTATACCAATTATTTCCTGGCCTCTGTGCCGGTCGGTTTATTTCTCGCACAACGCACATGATGTTTTTAAACCTTTTGAGGAACAGAACTCCCCGTGATCCTGCAGCCATCGAGGCCTCCATCCTGCAGTGAGGTGAAAATAACGCTCCAGTCCCTCCGCGTGAGCTTCAGCAGTGATGAATGCAGTATTGCGTAAGGGTGCAACTGAAAAGCACTCAGTAGTTTAGAGAGATGGAGGCAGGAGGAAACTTCCAAGAGAATGTGGAAAGGTTGTGTTTAGTTCAAACCAGAAAGCTCTGGGCCGAGGTCGGAGGCAACGGGTGTTTTATACAAAGGACCAGGGAGAAAGAAGAGTGTCGTATTTAAATAGCCCTTTTAGCTGCTGCTCCATCTCTAGCCTGGAGTGCACACAGGAAGTCTTCTTAAATAGTCTTGGAGGTCTTCTCCACAGAAGAGAGGCTTTGCAGGGTCAGAAAGGAGGGGATTGGATATCACAGATATCGCATATCTTTTTCTGCTGATGCGGTACTCCTCCGCAGTGGTTTCACACCTGGCGGTTACACAGCATTCGGTAAATCTGCTGTTGGAGGAGTGGAAGAGGAAGAGGGGGGGGGGGGGGGGGGGGGCCCTCGCGCACCGTGGTTTTTGGCCGAGGAATTGAGGGAGAAAGAAACACGGGTTTTGCCTCTCCATCTTTTTTTGGCTCCCTGTACCACCACCTTTTTGTTTCAGTCCCCTCACAGTTTTCACCTCTTTTTTTCCCTCTGGCCTCGAGGGGGGGGGGGGGGGGGCCGAGGCCGCTGCCAATGGCGCCGAGGCGTGAACCCTCTAAGCGCCTGTCATTACCCAGCGGCACTTCCCAAACTAACGCTAGACTTAAGGGGTGCTATATCTAGCATGTTAACATCAACGAATCATTATCACATTAAGATTGACCCATTAGTGTAATTCAGTCTAACAAATGAGAGCAAGAAAGTAAAAAGTATTTTTTTTACTCTCCTGCACTCCTCCCATGTTTTGGGAGAAAATCAACACGCAGCATCCAAAAAATATGCTACATTGCCTCGGATGAGATGATGGGTACCACTCTGAGTACGGAGGCGAGGCGATGATTTGGATAGATTAACTTAGCATGAAGACTGGAAGCAGGGGGAAAGAATTAGCCCGGTCGTGTCTCTTTGTCCCCACGTAGGCTTGTTGTAGCATTGCATATCTATGAAGTTTATTTATTTCTAGGAATGTTCATTCACGCTCTGCAGGAAGACCCCCCATCCACCTCCTCAGGGAGCGAGGCAAACAATAAGGTTGAGATTCAATTGTGTTTACTTTCTAATCAAAATCAAAATGCCTGGGAGCAAAACGCCGACAGGACGGGAACCAGGAACTCACGAACGCTATGACGACATTCAATGACTGGACCAGGGACAAAAGACACACATGGCTTAAATACACTGGGAAGATGTAGGTGATTGGAGCCACAAGGACCTGGACTCAAAAGCAGACTCAAGGCAAGGTAGTCAGGGTCAAAAGACAATGTCTTTTCTTCTGCCAGGGGTTCGGGACACGGGTAGTCGGACAGAGCAAGCGGATCAATCCACATCGGGTAGACAGAAATGGGTCGAAACACCGGAATTCACAGTCGGGTAACTCGCTGGTGAGCTCATGAAACAATAGAGACAAACTGGCACAGAACAAGCAGTGGACACAGACTAAATACACAAGGGAACGAGACACAGGAAACAATCGGGTGGCGTCGGGTAGCCGGGACAGGATCCGGGACAGCAACCGTAGTTGGGGACAGGCGTCGGGTAGCCGGGACAGGATCCGGGACAGCAACCGTAGTTGGGGACAGGCGTCGGGTAGCCGGGACAGGATCCGGGACAGCAACCGTAGTTGGGGACAGGGGTCGGGGTGCCGGGACGGGGCACAGGGTCAGGCGTCGGGAAGTCGGTGCGGCCCAGCGGGTGCGGGTTATTGTGCTCTCTAACCAGGAGAGCTCATCGAGACAACCGACAGTCGCCACTAGTCGGCAAACCTCTGTCCCGTCTCTCACTGTCGGCAACACGATCACCGTCCCAACAGGCCTCGGGGTCTTCACTCTGCTAGAGCTTTAGGCAGTGTGCATTGCGTAAATAATCTATAACTTAACTTTACCTTTACCCTCAACCAGGCTTATACTAGTTATTCATTCATTCCTTCTATAACTGAGCAGTTAAATAACGCCACCCATTCACCTGACGTTACCCAAGCGAGCGTCGTCGGTAACTCGCACAAAGACTGTTTACCTTTTTTTGATGGCGCCGTGTGAGTGAAGAAAATTCGATCTTCCGGGTCCTTTGTTCCTCTGTCCGTCCGTTGCTGTCCATCACGTCGGGGGCACCAATTGTTGTGTTGTTCTAAAAATAGAAACTCCGGAGGGACAGAAGACATCTCGGATTGAAAGTATATTGCAATAATTTCATCTAACATGCTTATGTAATAACGTCAAACTACAACTCTAACACTAAATAGTCCTACATGTATTATACTTTCTACTCTTCTAAATCTGTGTTTACTGGATGTGGGAATATTTACTACAACGTCACAATGGCTGTCAACAACTTGAAACTGTCCAACAAAAAACACCCCAGGTGAAGTCTTCTCTAGCTTGTCTAGATCGTAGTAATTTATTCTTAGCACACATGAAATCAGTACTAAAATTCAAACTCAGAAACAATCTATTAAATTGTCGGAAACACTGTAATTTGCCGTATATCATGAGGGGTGATCATTCCAGGTGCTTTAGCTTCGTCGAGGTGGAACACCAACGTGTAAAATGTATGTGACAAGTTGACATTTTAAGCTCCAGAGAAATATCCCACAGAGGTGCAAGATGTTGGCGAGCTGTGCAGATGCTCAGCAGTTTCCTTTTATGCCGGTTGATGATGATATGATTGTTTATTTTGTCATTTTCATAGGTCCATTCACAAATTGGCTTTAAACATCCCAACTGTTCAAGATATTGTTACAACAATAATTGAGTAACATGCAGCTGCCCAGGGATCCCAGAACGCTGTGTCTCAGTTGGTAAAGCTCATGAACTTAGTGGAGAAGCGATCAGCTAAAGAGGAGAAGAGTGCAGGGTTTCTGCAAATAGAGACACAACCACACACTTCTAGTGTGTGCAATGATGATTGGGATTGAGGGTCTGCAACCAAATGGTAAAAAAAAAAGTTTTAATCAAATTAAAACATGTCCCAAAAAACTGTGCACATTAAGGAGAAAGGGCTTTTTCCAGGTTTCTCAGTTTCGTCGGCGATGTGGTTTGTGGCTGCATGCTTTTTTGCATGTGCGCGTGGACACTAATCTACAAGGCGAGAGCTGCACCCAACGCGTGTTTCCAAGATCCCACTTGTCCATCCGACTCCAGTGCTTCCTCCCCTCTCGTCCAATGTGGAAAAACAAGGCGCCATTCCAGCTCCGCAGACATCTCGGCCAGCAATCTGAGGAAACCCCTGCCAGTGGGATGGGAAGAGGAGGAAGAAAGATGGATGGTTCTGCTCCCTGTAGTGTGCTAACAGGATCATGTAGTATAGGTAAACCAGAGAGAAAGGGATTTAGCTTTATGCATTACAGCAGTAAAGGAAATGCGTTTTAATTCCTCTGGAGATTTTATTTTTCAAATAGCGTATGCAGTGTTTGTAGGCTTGAGTTTATGCAAGTGTATGACAGACTCAGACAGTGTGTGTGTGATAGTGCTTTGACTGTCCACGCCACATGTCACAGTGCTGGAAGTACATCAGCGGGATGTGAGAGAACGAGCTGCTTTTTGACTCCATTTGCGATACACAAACAGCTGTCCCTTATGAATGCTGCAGTGACATTTATTTTATTAGCCGAATCCCTGCTTTCCAAATAGTCGCATGAAATAACATGCATAGAAATCACATTTTTGCTCGGATGAGAAGGAAAAGCACATAATAAACACATGATAAAGAATTTTATCACTATTTCCGGGCTAGCTGCGCCGCTGTGGACTGTTGTCGACTAGTCCGCTGCTCGCACGGAATGTTTTCTTAGGCCTAAGTCCTTTGCACCAGTCCAATTGAATTCAACAAAGCTTTTCCCTCAGGGAGTTCTTGCTGTGATACAGCGAGACACGAACACATCTGGGTACCTACTGACCACTTAACTGCCTGCACTCAGTCAATAACTATTTAAAAAGATCAATTAGGGCGATCAGTGGCGAGAGCTCCACGGGGGCCGAGGTGCCATATTGAGCTGTTTCTGTGAGATGATGTCACGCGCAGCTCTTTCCCGGAGAAAGAGTCTCACCCCTCCAGACATTTGATTTCATTAAAGGGGTATTCTCCTCCAACCGGAGCAATAAACTCGCCAATAAGCTGCCTCGGCCTTCTTACCTGCCTGGTCCGGCCCTCGAGAGGCGGGGACTCTGTCCAGCCAGCCGCCTCATTGAAAGCCTTCTGACTGAAACATCGAGCCATGAGAATCGATTTTCTTTCATTTATCGTCCCCTCACCTTTTTTTTGCCCTTGTGAAACGTCCGTTTACACATTTTACAACCTGATTGATTACAACGCTGCTGTTTTCAGTCCACCGTGTTCTTTTATCCTCGCCGCCATCGAGTGCTTTTCGCCCTCTGTTCCACCGGCGGACGTGGCGCGATGAATGCGGTTGTCATGACGCCCCGTGGCTGCCAGTGAGCTCACTTGACGCCGTGAGTGTGGCGAGTCCGGGCGGTGACGGACAGGCCCGGTCAATAGCAACCTGACCTTTCACCTCTCAACCTGTCTCCCATGCTGACTATTAATCCTACTTACAGTGCACTTCCTGTGTCCCCCCCCATCGCAAATTAACCTTTTCTGTTCTTCTCTCTCCCCCCTCCCTGTTCCTGTCCTTCTCTGTCCCTTCCCCTTCAACACCCCCTTCCTGCCCCCCCCTCCCCCCCCGCCCCCTCCCCCCCTTCTATTCCTCTTGCAGCAAACTTATTCACGTGAAAATTGTTGATGATGAGGAGTATGAGAAAAACAAGAACTTCTTCCTGGAGCTGGCTGAGCCTCGCATGGCAGACATGAGTCTGCAGAAAGGTGCAGTACTGAACCTCTTTCTTCTTCTCTTGTCATTTTCTCTGTCTCCCGCTTTCACGCGTTGTCAGTGTCTGTTTTCTCTCGCTGTTAGTCCGCTTTGTTCACTTCTTCCTTTTACCTGCCTTTGACTCTGCTGTCCCCCCCCTTCCTCCCCCCCGCCTCCCTCTTCTTCCACACACACCACCGTGCACCCAAGAACTCTGTGTCTCTACGCCACGCTTTCGCATTACAGCTGAAACGTAAATCACTAACGCTCCATCAGCATCACAATGGCAGCCTCCCTCGACGACGTCGTCGTCTGCATATGTGGGGAACGCGGAGTCTCGGCGATGCCATCATTCACCATCTCCATGCAGCATAAACACAGCCATTATTATGTAAAGGCACGTTTTACCTAAATGCAGTCTAGTAGCGTGCAGTCAAGTGTGCGCCGGTCGGGTGTGAAAATACAAGCAAATGGATGTTGGTGAGATGAGATTATTGATTTACTTCGCGCCGTGAGGATGCAAAGCTCACAGGACTGTTTGAATTTAAAAGTTGGTTTGAAAGTGTAACTTTATGAAGGAGCTCTTCTTCCTGATGGTATCTGGTGCAGCGCATTCTGAGGTCATAGATCGTATTCCTCTGCACGCCAAGCTTGTCTTTAGGCGTCCTTTTTTTTGCAGTCAGGTGAATATAGAAATGAAAGTAGGACACGGGGATGTTCAAATCAAAGTAAGTTTTCGTCATAAGTTTTGTTTGTTTTCTTCTTGTTGTTAATGTCTGCTGAAAGAAGCCAACGGGCTTTTTGCGCACCGTTATCTAATGCGCTGTTATCTAACCGTGCTCGAGGCCAAGGGGGGACGGCAGAGGCTCACAAGCTGGTGCACAGGGTGCAGGATGTTATTGGGTCCGGCAACGCCGGGCGAGTCGCGTCGGCTCCCTGCGTTCTCAGAGGAAGAGTCATGATGAAGAGGAGTTACTAGGCAGGCGTTTATGAGTGACAGCTGCATCCTTCCAAACCGCGCCGCGCTGCTCTTTGATGCTTGTCGTTGTTTTTTCTTTTTTTAATGATCTTTCTGCTTCGGTGCAGGTTTCATGCACACGCTGATGAACACAAAAGCTCTTTTTAGCGGTTTGCGATATCAGCAAACTCGGATGCGTTGAACATCTGCATTAGATGTTGAACATTGTTCATTTCTCGGAACAGAAGCCAAACTCAATTTACTTAATGCAAAGTTGAATGTAACACATTATTTTATTAGCGGATGTCTTCATTAACTATCAATTAGGAATAACGCATGTGACCTCATAGCGAAGGCTGCGCTTCCCCTGGTTTTCAATGTGGCTGCTAAACGCGCATTTAAGAAGTGGACGTGCTCATCATGACGTCTTTTTTATTTCCAAGTACGACCAAACGCAGAATAAGACATTTTTAGGGGACCAAGAGGCTCACAAACAACTTCCATTCTCAATCACATGGCCGGCCCGCCCTGAAGCACAGTTAGCAACGTTTATTGACTGAATCACTCATATATAATTAGGGCCATTTTCTCATGAACATACAGTCAGACTTATTTTGCAATCAGAGGAGTCGGCCCCCGATGGTCAGTAGGGGGGTTGCAAGTTTCAAGCTCTTCCTAATTGGCTTCACTTCAGCGGCTGCTGCCTTGACGAGCTGAGCTGCATACGCTGTCTGCTAGCTGCAGCCTCGAGAGTGTGCGTGTGTTCTGCATCCTTCCGAGGACACACGCCAAGTTCACGTGTCAGGATTGTTACGGACAGAATAGGTGTGGAGGCGAGGAAGGGAGGGCTGTCGACGGACAGAGCCAAAGATGACACATGCCGACATGCATGCCGGTTTAGTGTGAACAGATCTAAAACCAAGCTTCTCTGTCGGGCCCATGCGCTGACGGGAAACCTTGAGCGGGTTTAGTGTTCTCTCCGGGCTCCTGGAGCTCAGAGCGTCCTGGGATCGTCGCTCATGGAGAAAAGATGGAGCGTAAAACAGCGAAGCACCTTTGCACCTGTTTCCTTGTCGTCATACTCGTGCATATTTATAGCACACACTGAGTTTCTCACTCCGATACTGGAAAGAGGGCAACACAACTGTGGCGCTAATGAAAGTGCAGACAGTATTGACAATGAGTAATACCTAGATTTCTTTTAATGCAGAAGGTAATGAATGTTTGATCAAGGGTAATACATGTTTGATCCATATATGATGAGGAGGTAATGAAAAAGCAGGATCATCTTTTATGAATTTGCTCGTGCTGATGAAATTGCTTTGATTCCAAATTATAGAAAAGTCGAGGCGGTGTTTAGCAGGGGGGTTAAACATATTACCCTGTTGCCACAGTGGGTGCGGCTGGATTGCAGTGATTTGAATGATAGGATAATTTCTCACTTTTCATATATAATGTGGCGATAATATTGTTGTTCATAACCGCTGATGTGGTGCTGATTGGGTTTGTTTCTCTCCTTATTAAAGCCGGAGTGGGGCAGCAGAAATGATGAATATTCTATGAGAGTCTTTGTTTTATTTGGTATTTCTTTTTATATTCAACGGCCCTGCTCCATTTTCCAGCTCAGCCTTTCAATCAACAGCGCCGCGCTACAAAGGCCTCTCGCATTGTTTTTTTGTGTTTTTTAACAGATTATTTCTCTATTATAGATGACTGAAATAGAAGCACCAAAATGATTCTCAGATCTCACTTGAACTCTCTGATGTTTTCATGTATTACGAGCAGTTGCATCACTTATTGTAACTTTTACAGATTTGCTCACTCGGGACGCCGACAGCAGAAGTTGGCAGACGCGAGTGAGTTGGAAGCAGGTCTGAGTTTGGACAGCGCGTGTGTGTGTGTGTGTGTGTGTGTGTGTGTGTGTGTGTGTGTGTGTGTGTGTGTGTGTGTGTGTGTGTGTGATGGAAGCAATCAAGCCAACAGTCACCCTGACCTGTCAGTCTGGAGTGGTGTACCGACGGCTCCAGCTACGCCCTTCTCCAACACTGCTGCTCCAACACTGCAGAGTCAGAGAGGGAGTCGCTCCCCGGTCCGCACGCGGCCTCGCGGGACGTCGTCCTGGAGGCATGTTGATGACGCGGCCTGATGGCTTTGAAAAGGTTTATTCAAGCAGCTAATTTGCGCAGGTGCCAATTTCCACTCTCGCTTAACATCAGCCAGCTGGACAAAGACCCCTTTTCCACCAAAAATGTGCACGTGTGAGATCATGTGGTGTAATCTCTAGCAGGAATTTAGCTGGATAACAATTGATTTGATTTAAAATTTGGTTTCTTTGCATTCCAGCCTGTCTCTAGAACGTGCTATCAAAACTTCACGTACGAGCACAATAATACAAATAATAAACATTAGGAGAACAATAGGCGCTAATAATCGATAAACTCTTCTTCTCTGGTGAGTTATGTTCACCATCATAAGTGCTTTGGTTAGTACAATTATAACAATTATAATGTGACAGTGGTTACTTAATAAAATATAATAAAATAAAATATATCTGTCCCCTTCAGTCTGTCTTTCAAGCTGAAGGAGTAACAGACCAGGATCTCCTGTTAGTGGAATCTGGTTCCTTTAGAGATGCAGGCACTTTCTTTTCACATCCAATTCAACTAAACCAGAATTGGTGATTATGGTAAAAAACGTAGAATGCATTGGATGCATTTCCTTTCTGTTGAGTTTGAATGCGTTTGGATGTAAAAACGACTGTTGGCCGATTGAGATACGTCAAGAGAGTGTCTGAAGAAATCATTCAACGTGTTTGTTGGGCTGTGAAGTGTAGGACCTTGAAATGACACTGCAAAGGTCTCCTGCAGAGCAGTCTGTTGCATCGTGGCCGTTCCTCCTGCACCTCAGCGCGCGCGTCTTCTGCTCGTGCATGAACCTGAACAAACACTAAAGTGACGTGTTTCTGGAATGTGTATCAACACATTTCTGTGTGTGTGTGTGTGTGTTCACATGTGCCAGTGCATACGGCTGTAGGATTAATGCCCGAGAGCCCTCCCCCAAACCTCCCTCCCCTGCCACTTTACATTCAAATCATGCCGAGCGTGGGGAAATGTGCCACCCATCAGCCTCCTCTCTCAGAGTGAGCTCTTGTGGCATCTGAGGGCACTTCACATGCTGTTGTTTGAGCTTGGCTGAGTTCTTCTCGCGGTCCGCATCTCTCACACACACACACACACACACACACACACACATCCATTACCTCCAAATGAGCTGTGAGTCATATTGTGGAGGGATTGTGAGCCAAAGCAACTCTGAACTCCAGCAGAGATGTTTTGAGCATTATTGAAAACAAACCGGAGAGGCCTTTACAGTGCGGGGGTGTTTTTTTTCTTTGTGTGATTATTTAGAACGTTGATATTTATTTTTAAATTGTAGTTTCTGTTGTGTATACTTCCAGTAAAGATGAGAACCAATTCCTCTTTTAGCAGGATTTTTTCTTTACAAGCCTAAAATAAGTTCTGTCGTTGACGCCAGCGTAAAAGATGTTAAGAGTAAATTCCCCTCAAGCATTTCTTTAAAAAGGCGGTTAATAGTGGCTAAATTATACTTCTAAAGTGCATCAAGCCAACTATTCGATTGTGTTTGTTCTGACTGTCATGCAGCCGTGTCGTAGTTCCTTCATAGTCTAACGTTAGCTTTTTACTTCTAGTGGTTGGATCTAGACGTCAAAACAACAAAGGTAGTGTTCATTTCTAAAGATAATCTCGATGAACAAAGGGTTTAGGTGCCATAAATGTGTCTTTGCAAGAAAGCTTATTTTCTACGATTCTAAAATCCAGATCCACTCCTTTTGTTCTTACCTTTCACAATAAAAGCCGTGACGTACAATATTTACGTGTTTGCATCTCAAAATCTTGGCGGCGTTTATTTGCCATATTCCTAGTGTGTAGAGGCATCCTAACATAGAGAAGAAACAGGTTTTAATCCGTCAGAGACACGACTGCAGACCTACATTCTGAAATGCAACAATCTCAGAACTTGTTTCTCGAGACATCG